GTGTGTGTGTGTGTGTGTGTGTGTGTGTGTGTGTGTGTGTGTGTGTGTGTGTGTGTGTGTGTGTGAGTGTGTGTGTTTGAGAGAGAGAGAAAAATCATAGAATCATTGAACATCACTGAACACAGAGACTATTGAACCTTGGTTGAGAGGTCCCTGACCTGCATGACAATGTTATGGATAGAATGAAAGGCAGTTGCCAAAAGGATAGGCTTGCTTAGGTTAGGTTGTTCATTATCCAGTGGCTACTAGCTAGTCTTCAGTTACTGAGCTGATTGCAGCAGTTAATGTTTCTCATAATTGGTTATTGACTTGTTACAAGTTTGGGTACAGTGGGTAGTGGGACTAGTGGCTAACTCCTCTTAGGCGCCTTAAGGTGAAGAGGTCCCATTTTTGCTGATTAGCCCCATAAAGTTTCTGAACTGTGAGGAGTTTCATCAAGATTTATCCTTTGGAAGGGACACTGGACCCGGTTTCCAGCAGGTGCAGCTCCCCACCAATAGAAAGGAGCCATCGGAACCTCGCAGGCTTCTACCCTCCGGGGCTCTTACCACCCAAGGGGTAGAAGACCTTGCCCTGAACGATGATTGAATTGAAAAAAAAATACCAAGAGGGAAGGGGGAAGAGGAAGAGAAGGGGGACAGGAGGAGGGGGAAGAGAAAAGAAATCACCAAAGGATCCTCAGCTCGACAATCAGCGGCTGAATGTAAGCAAGCGGCCTACGTAGATCAGTTGGTTAGGTGCACAAGTGGCATACTGGAGGTCGAGGGTTCCATCTTCACAAACCACCTGCGGCACTCTTGGTGCCAAACAGCTGAGATAGTTGGATTGCTCCCCCCATTCGGTATTGGTAGGGTCTTTGGCCATCACGGGTGTGCAGGTGTGCATGTGTGCATGTGTGGATTGTGTGTGGTGTGTGGAAGAGTCTGGCCAAGTGTTACTCCATGAGACACAGGAAGTAGATGGGAGGTGCAACTACTGGCAAAATAAGTTGTATGCATGGCTTAGAAAATGGGGTTGGGAGTCCTACGTCGCGGTTCTCCTAGCTCTTGCCGGGAAGAATGAGCTGGAAATTCTAGAGAAAAGAATGATAAGGAGATTGTGTCCAGCCCAGAATGTTAACGGTTGGAAGGGAAGAAGAGAGAGGAAGAAGAAACGGGTGAAGTTCTATGATAATAAGGGGGTGTTGTGTTTCTATGTGAAAGACGGAAGCGTGGTAAGGAGGAGGTTTGGGGATTCTGAAGTGATAGTCAATGGTAAGAAGTTGTGAATGAAGCAGTTGAGAGGAGCCTTGGAGAGAGGGGGACATGCTCACTTCGTTAGAATATTTGAAAGACGGTCGGCCCGGACCAGGAGATGCAAATTTGAAGAAGCTCAACCACGGGTGCTTCAACAGTTGGTGGAGGAGCTTCTTCAAATTTGCATCTCCTGGTCCGGGCCGGCCGCCTTTCAAATATTATAATGAAGCGAGCATACCCCCCTCTCTCCAAGGCTCTTCTCAACTGCTTCAGTCACAACTTCTTACCATTGACTATCGTGGTAAGGAGAAGGTTTGGGGATTCTGAAGTGATAGTCAATGGTAAGAAGTTGTGAATGAAGTAGCTGAGAGGAGCCCTGGAGAGAGGGGGGCATGCTCGCTTCGTTATAATATTTGAAAAACGACCGACCCGGACTAGGAGAGGTAAATTTGAAGAAGTCCCTCCACCAACTGTTGAAGGGCCCATGGTTGAAAAAGACACTGGATTCGCTATCGATTGGAGATCTGGTCAACCTGTTCTGCAATATCAAGGGCTTTACTAAGAAAAGTACAATAAAACATTATAAAACATAATCGATGGTGTGGCTAAGGGGAATTTTGGGTTGAGTTTGTATAGGAGATTCGTTGTTGGTGTAAAATATGCCGATAGGGTTTCAAAAGCCAAAATTCGTAAGGGGATGATCGAGAAGATTAGTACACTGTCAGATTCCGCTACTATTACTAATCTACGTTCAACAGAAAAAAACGAAAGTTGAAAAAACATTCCATTAAAAAAAATCCTTTATATTTAAAAACTATCATTCCAATGTCCGTCAAAGTTTAAAAATTTCAGTTTTATTTGATAAGTTTCTGTCTAAAAATGATTTTTCCCTTCCAACTACATGTATTTGTTGAAGATGGAATGAAAGTCTGGACGAGTTTATAAAATGTCTTAATTAAACTTTCATTTTACTACGACAAATATTTTCTTCTAATTTAGATTGGATTAACCTATTTATGACTACAAATTCTTATACATAATGATAGTCCAATAAAAATATTTCATGAACTTATCCAGACTTTCATTCCATCTCTAGCATATAGTTGAAATAAGAAGGGATACCCTATTATTGGAATGAAAAGTTTTTAAGTAAGACGGAAAATTTTAAAAGTGGAATGACATCATTTTTAATATAGAAAGGAAATTTAAACTTTAGAATGTAATTTTACTATAGAATGATTATTTAATTCTAGGAATTTTTTCTGTTGTTGTTAAAAACTTTGACTAATATGGAGAAAAAATAAGACAGTTGGAGATCTTCTCTACAACCATAGGCGCGTAAGCCACCAGATGGCGACAGTTCGTTGTTGTGCAGGCTATGACCTCCCAAGATAGGGAGGACACATAGTTTTCTGTCTCCATAGGTATAAAGATGTGGATGAGCGAGCGTTAAATTCGCCACTCTGTTTTCAACTAAGAAAATAATGTTCGACTTGCATGTGTTAAGCATATCGCTAGCGTTCATTCAGAGCCCGGATCAAGCTTAATTTTTTTACATGGCTTAATTTATGGAATATAGGATTTGAACCTACAATAATGAGTTTACCAGTTTCACTCAATCCAATCTTAGTTAGTTAGCTACTAGTTGAATTACCAATTGACCTTTGACTTTGCTATGGAGGGAGCAAGTCTGTGTAGGGAATTGAATGATGAAATGGTTAAAGCAGGGTTGGAGGTTGGATGCCCACTGCTAGTAGACAAAAATTTTGCGGAGACACTGGTTATGTGTCTGGTAATGTACAAGGAAGGCATGAAGGCTACTTTGGGGGGCCACAAGGCTTTGACGTGGTTTGGAGAAGGGAGGAGGAAGTCATGGTCGAAGCTAAGCTAGATTATGAGAGGAAAGGGTAGGAAGCGATGGCGAAATGAGACAATTAGGGGACATGGGGGATGACCTATGTGCTGCCAAAGCACAAGGATTTGACCAAGTTCAAACTGATCTCGCCCTCTTTCTCATAGGATGCAAACACTGACAATCAAAGTCTCAGAGTAACAAGGACTTTAAACTTCCGCTTCTTCTCGCTGCCAAAAAAAAATAACATCAATCCGAAGTCAACCAGTATGCTAGAGGGTAGGATGAAGGATATTTGCAAATGAGACAATCGAAAGAAAAACGGTGAACTCATCGGGATTGCTTATGACATCAAGGAGATTTTTAGTAAGTTTCCCCGTGAGTCCATCAAGACGGCCATTGATTGAATTTCGGGTACCTACGAAAAGAAAGGAAAGACTTTCGTCAATATGACTAAAAAATATATATATATACAGGGTTCGGGAGCCGAACACCTCCAGGTTCGGCCCCCGCCAAAAAATGTTTCGGGGCCTAAAAGTAAGTTTTTTTTTCTGAATTGTTTTTTTTGAGTTCTCTATGATGTAACCTACATGCCTATCATTACATTAAAAAAAAAAAAAATCTTACATGAAAACTTTCCTTTCAATAATGAGGTATCCCTTCTTATTTGAACTGCATGATAGAGATGAAACGAGAGTTTGGATGAGTCCATAAAATATTTTAATTGGACTCAGAGTCACCAGCCCGTACGTACGGAGGTCCCCGGGCAGACCTCCGTACGTAAGGGCGTTCGGGGTCTCGTACGGGGTCCGAACCCGACGGCGTTTGGCCCCCGCCAAAAATTATTTCTGGGCCTAAAAATAATTATTTTTTTCTGAATGTTTTTTTGTGAGTTCTCTATAACGTGAGGTACATGCTTGAAAATTTTCAAGTCATTTGGATAAGCCAAATAAGAATTAAAAATCTCCAAAGATGTCGGTGTCAAAACGTGCTCGCCCATGTATTTTTTTACTTTTTACTTTTTGTTTTCACTTTAGTTCGGGGTCTAAACAATTTTATTATTTTTGAAATTTTCTTAGTGGGTTTTGTATTATGTGAATTACACATCTGTAATTTTCAGGGCATTTAGCTATGCCAAAAAAAAATGAAAATTGCCAAAAATGGCGGTGTTGAAAACATGCTCGCGCACTCACTAAATTTAATTATCTTTTTATTTTTATTTATTTTTATTATTAGTATTTGTTTTCCACATTTTATTTTTATTTCAAATTTGGTAAGGAATTCGGATGTAATGCTCAGGCAAATCTTGTTGAATTTATTTT